CCCCAAAACCCCAAAACCCCAAAACCCCAAATTTTGATATATAGGTTGAATAATTTTTTTATCAATTTTAATGAAATGCCTTCAAAGTTTTCAAGTAACCAGATTTATTTGATACCAGCAATTTTATAATTATTCCTTCATCATTCATACAGCCTAATTACTAAAATTGAGACACTAATGGTGCAAAAACCCTAGAGGTTACTGCTCTCAAAGAATAAGTCGGAACAAATATTGATGGACTTCGCATGCCCTTGGTCAGTACAGAATAATAGGTTCAAATAATCAAGATATTTATATTATTGGTCATATTTCCGATTTGAGTATTTTTATGTGCAATCTGGCATCCTCTATACTTCAAAATAATTATCTTACAAGACTTCTTAGTAATTACTATAGGCTTTATTTTATTATTGTATACCTCAGAGATTTTACCTAATATGCTTAGTAGGTGTGTATGAGGGTGATTACATAATGGGCCTCATCAAATACAAAATTGAATACATTTCTAATTTTTTGAACAATTTAGGCCATAGTAGATCAAGCTCTCCAGGTTTAATTAATATCATTAAATGAGAGGCTCAGTGTACTGAAGTTCTAATGGAACGATTATTTCATTAAAATGAGAGATCCTTAATTCTTCGTTAAGTGTTAATGCAACGATGACAAAAATGTAAAAGAAATTTAATTAAAGTTCATAATAACCCTTATAATTTATCTGAAATTCACAGATTTATCTTCTTCAATGCCAAAGGGGTAAAATACTCTATGCCTATTCCTTTACATAAAGGCAGACTTTTATGGAGGCCTATAAACTAGCACTGGTGAGTGAAGAATAGGTTATATATTAGCCTTTCAGAATTAAGAATGCTACATCCCTAATTGATCCAACCTCAATTCTTCTAAGGATCAAAATAAGAGAGATATGAATAAATTTTATTGATAAATCATTTTTTACGGTGACTCTTAAGAGTCTTCTTGTTCATGGTGTAAAGTCACTGTTATTATAAATCACATAGGTTTTTGCTCATTCTTATTCCGATTTTAAAATTATTGTTGACATATGTCTGGTCTCCTTCAAAGAAGTAGTGGCATACTAAACATTTGAAGTAGGGGTTTTCCATTCATTTTTATAGTTGACCCATGTCGAAATTTGACAATAATTTCTTGTTAATATTATCCTCAGTTGTAAGTAAAAAAAAATTATTTAAAAACTAGGTTGTGCCATCCTCTGTATTAGATATAGTTCAAGTAAAGGTCTTCCTACTCGATACATAGGTAGAAGCCATGCATGATAGATTAGATTTTATGTAAATGCTACCCTAATTTTTAAAATGAGCAAGAATCAATATTCCTATTCGATTTTTAACAGCAATAAAATTGACATATAGTCGCAATAAACTGGTCTTGAGAGTCAAGACAGAATTCCTCTCTTATATAATACCTCAAAGGTATTGGTCAAGACTAATTCTTTATAAATTTATAGCCTTTAGTTAATATAAATTTTAACTTCAGAGTCTCAAAATCCTAGATTTCAACAGAATGCGCTGTTGTTGGGGTTTTGGGGTTTTGGGGTTTTGGGGTTTTGGGG